CACATATGTTCTCATATTCATATGTTTCATGCTCTGTGTCTCACCTGGCTTTCTTCCCTTGCTGTTTATCATCTCTGCTGCAAATTGGGAGGGGGGGAGTGTATGTGTATGGCTGTCTGCTTTGCTTGGTTAGTGCCAGCTTGGAACAGTTCTCATGCAGGGGCCTCCTGGTGTCTGGAAACCAGTTCCAACACAGAAGCTGTCTATGCTTGGAACCTCTTCACCTCATAATAAATAAATCTTGCTGCTACAAGAGTGTTTGTGGGAGTATTTGCATCCAGAACTTGACACAATCCCTTTTAATGTGAGAGAACAGCTCTGAAAGAACTTATGACTGACCCAAGGTCACTCCAGCAGCTGCATGTGGAGGAGTGGGGAATCAAACTCAGTTCTCCCAGATTAGAGTCTGTGCTCCTAACCACTATACCAAACTGCCCTTTGCTTTGTCTTGCCTTCAGAGAATGTGCTTGCCTTCAGTGAACATTTTTAAAAGTAATCGCCTACAATCCATGGAAGATACAAATGGGCTTTTCTGCTACTCAGTACAGCAGTAGGCACTGTGGCTTGTTAGCATAAAGTGCCTATCTAGTAAACAGGTTTGGGGATTCATTCTCAGCTGGAGTTTTGGTTTTTTAAAAACAACAACAATATTAGAATGCAATTTTGGCCATTGCATTACACGGGGGGGAGCATGAACACTGCATCAGAAAGGCACCCCCCCCCCCCCCTCACACTTTTCCTCTGTCACTCACAAAAATGTGAGAGAGTGATGAGGGAGCAAGGCAGGCTCCCCCCCTTAACTGTGTTGTATTGGTGGTAAGCAAACATTTGTGGGGGGTGAAAGCTTGGAAAGGACTCCTCTGGAACCCCTGCTAAGCTCTTCATGTGCTGTTGCATTGATCCCAAGCATCTCAGTCAGGGCCGGCTCACCCGCTAGGCGAACTAGGCATTCGTCTAGAGCGCTGGGCCCTGGATGGGGCGCCTACGTTCGCCTCCCCCCAAAAGCCCATGGGAGGGCGGGGGCGCACGGAGACGGACCTCCGGGAGACCCCCCTCTCCAATCCCCTCGTTCTCTAGGCCGGCTGTGCAGAAGAGATGCAGAGCCCCCCTCACCTCCTGCACAGTCCCCTCCCTCCCGTGCACGCCAAGTGCTGGCATGGGGGGAAGGAGAGGGAGGTTTTACGGTGGGAGGAAGGCGCGCCGGGGAGGGGGGGCGGCTCAGTGCTGCTGCAACTTTCGGGAGGCTTTGTTTCCCTCCCCCCCACATGTCTTTAGGCCCCACCGGGAGGTTGGCATCTGCGCCTCGCCTAGGGCGCAGGAACACCTTGGGCCGGCCCTGATCTCAGTGAGACTTGCACAGGAAACCAGTTGCTGGGTGTGTGTGTGTTAGGGCCCATTATAAGTCAGGAAGTCACACTTCTGAGCGCCCAGCAGCCCTGCATGCCTGCCTGGAATTCGGGGGGGGGGGGGGTGCGGGGGGGGGCTTTCTTTCTGATGCAGTGTTCATGGTGCTGGGTAGCAGGAGACCAGAGGCAGGGCCTCAATTTGAGAAGCGGTGTCTGGTGTCTGTCCCTCCTGGCAGGAAGACCCCAACAGGACAGTGGTGGCAGCATAACCTAGTGAAAGGAAGTGGAACGGCACCCTCCAGGAATTGGCACAAGCCAAGGAGGGGGCTGGCAGAACAGGGTTTATAAGTCAAAATGGGCCTGTTCCATCGCAGCATATATAACCGCTAAAACAGATTAATGTTCTATTACCATGCATGTAAAGGGCGGAGGAGGGGAGAAGCATCCTTTTACTACTTTGTTAGATCATGGGGAAATATTAACTCCCCCCTTCTGTTCATATTAACAAAGTTTTTCTACTGTAGTACATTCTGTTGCCAAGTGGGATAGGGATAAGAAGGACTTGAACTGAAAATAAAAGGGGGGGGGAATGGAAGATTAGGTGGAGGGAGACAGAAATGAATGAGAAAAGTGTGGAAAAGAGAGGGAAAAGTTTTATCTTGCTGCAACATCCTAACTACCACTTTATAAGATCTGGCTGAGCTGGATGCAAGGAAAGGAAGAGAGAAAGGCTAAACTATTGGAGAAAATAACCTTGTTAGCAGGCTGCACACTGCACACTGGCAGTTACTGTAGTAGCTATTGGTGTACTGTCATGTCTTGCTTCAGTAGTGGCTTGGTTGATGGGTTTTGCATGATCTGTTAGACAAGTTTGGAGAAAAGCAATTCTAGCCTATAGTAGAGTGCCCTTTTGCGGTGCTGAGACTTCCCTGCACCCCAAGTGGTTGCAGCCAGAACTACATTAAACATAAATGGAAAGACATTTAGCTGGATACATGATGCTGGCTTCAAGAGCCCTTCAGCTGACTTGCACCCCCCAAGTTCTGCTTCCACAGTCTCCCCCGTCAGTGGTCCTGTTCATATACATTGGTCCAAACCATCTCAGGCTTTAAATGTCACCAGCAGCTGCATATAGAGTGCATTGCAGTAATCTAAATTAGATATAACCAGGACATGTACCACAGTGGCCAGATCTTTTCTGCTCAGGAGGCTAACCAGTCAAAGCTGGTAAAAGGCATTCCTAACAGCTGTCACCTGCTTATCCAGCTCTAGGCCTGGGTCCAAGCACACCTCCAGATTACAGATCTGTTCCTTCAAGGAGAGTACAACCCCATTTAGAACAGGTGACACCTTAAATCCCAGATTAGACCTTCCCCATAGACCTTCCTCTTACCAGTAGCACTTCTGTTTTGGGAGGGATTAATCATCAGTTTTATTAGCCTGATTCCACTTCAGAATTGCCTCCAGGCACCGTTTCAGGGTTTCTACAGCCCCCCCCCCCCCCCCCCCCCCCCTCAGCTGGATGTGCGAGATAGAACCGAGTGTCATCTGCATATTGGTGACCAGAGGTCCCAGTCCAGATCTCTGGATGACACCTCATCCAGCAGTTTCTTTTAGTTGTTAAAAAATGTAGGGAACCTTGCGGGACCCCAGAGGCCAGGGGGCTGAGCAGCAATCCTCCAGCACCACCTTCTGGAACTCACTCGCCTATACGTTCAGAACTACTGCAAAATAGTACCTCCCACTCTAGAAAGACAGTCCAGAAGGATCTCGTGATCAATTGTATCAAAAGCCACTGAGAGGTCCAGGAGAATTAACAGGGCTACACTACTCCTCTCCATCTTTTGGTGCAGGTCATCCACCAGGGGGACAAAGTCTGTTTCAGCCCCGTAAAGGTAAAGGTTCCCTTGCTAGAAAGCCAGTCGAGTCCGACTCTAGGCTTGCGGTGCTCATCTCCGTTTCAAAGCCGAAGAGCCAGCGCTGTCCGAAGACGTTTCCGTGGTCATGTGGCCGGCATGACTAAACACCAAGGTGCACGGAACGCTGTTACCTTCCCACTGAAGTGGTACCTATTTATCTACTTGCAATTTCTTGCTTTCGAACTGCTGGGTTGGCAGAAGCTGGAACTAGAGACGGGAGCTCACGCCGTCATGCGGCACACTCGGGTCTCGAACTGCTGAACTACCGACCTTCCACAGCCTGCAGTTCAGCATCTTAACCACTTGAGCCACCGCAGCTCCATAACCAAGCCTAAAACCAATCTGGAAAGGATCTAAAAAGACTTTAGGTTTCCATGTATAGTCTCCAGTTGTTTTAAAAGTCCAGTAGTCTCTTAATATCTTCACTTAAATCTGTTTCGTCTCTCATCCCCAGTAATAGATTTCTTCTGGAGATTCTGGTAGTTTTGTTACTAAAAGCATCTGATGTCTTCTGTGGACATGGCATTTGGCTATTGTTTTAAGGAATCTCTCTTTGTTCTGCCAAGGCTGCCCAGTTATACATATTTGGGCATATACTGAAATCCAACTGAAGAAGCTTGTTCACAGACGCTAGTACTACATCTAGATGAAATTCCAAGCTAATCTCTGAATATAACAGACTGCAGACATTTTCCACCAAAGCTGTGAGGTTTGCAGGGGCTGTTCTGTATTGGTAAGGAGGCTCAGGGAAGAATGTCCTTTTACTTCTGTAATTTGCGTAGGTGCAGTTAAAAATTGGAGCAATGTGGTTTCAAACTCTTGAGTGACTACATACTGCCGTGGCTGTTGCAATCAACATGTTTTGAGCTAGACTGTTGTTCCAGAAGTGTGTGTTCTTTCACTTCTGTTGGGGTGTCCAGCTGCTCCAGATGTGAGTGTGGAACAGAGTTGGCAGGCAACTATTACTGCCAGAGATATGCTAGCATTGTTTGGCCTTGCTCTGAATTAACATGTATGCTAACATTTAGGTGTGTATAAGAGAGCGGCGGCTGCTACTCCTTCTGTACAAGTGACAGGTGTTGGACCTGTTTGTTGGTATACAGGTACAGCTGCCGAGGGGGAAACTTTTTTCTCATAGAAACAGTTGTTCTGATATGATCATTGGTGCCATGTATTGTAACAAATTTCCTTTGAAGCCCACACTACTGCAGAAACGAAGTAGAGGGAAATGACTCTTAACACTTGCCCACAGAATGTAGGCTTCGCTGCTTTCGTCTGCAGTCTGGAACCTTTTTTAAACTTGGCTTCTTCTCTGATTTGTTGGTAAATATATCTGTGTAACATTTGGGACTTGTGCTACATGAAGTATAGGATTGGTGGTGAAGTGATGGACCCAAAGCATAGCTTGCGTTAGTCACTGTGATGGACAGGGATTACATTACACAAACTGAGAGAAATCAGAGCACCCAACGGTGTCACCAGGTATCCCATTTGGTACTTGTTGACTCTTGTCATTCCCTGTAATTTATTGTATGACACTGACTGTAAGGAAGTATCCATATTTCCTGGTTCCTTGCTTAGTGACCTGAAAGCGTTACACTGCCAGTAAATACAGCAAAAGGCTTTGTGTGTGTGTTGTCTTTCAACAACAAACTATTGTTTGAGGCTCAATGCAGCTACCATGGTCACATCCTTTGTCTGCCACATTTCCCTTTTCCCCATGTTTTCCCTGCAGGCCTCTGGTTGTACCTGGCAGGAAGCAGTCTACCCTGCTTAACTCTGATTGGCTCTCCTAATTTTGGATACAGGTCAGTTCATCGAGACCTGGAAGCACAGGTTGCAATAGTGACAAAAAACAAATCTCTGCAGCAACAGTTCCATCAGGTGCGTGGCTTGTGAGTTGAAGTTTTGTGGGTTCTGTACTGTATGATGGGAACTGTGGCCAGGGGGTGGGTGGCTGGGATTCAAAACTAACAAAAGGGAGCTTGGCATAAGCAGCCAGTTGGAGGTCCCAATGATGGACCAGAAGGGGTGTGAAGTAACAGGCTGGTCTGGAGGAAGAAGAGGAGGGAAATTACTGTTGTTGTTGTTGTTGTTATTTATTAAATTTTTAAACCGCCCTCCCCTGAAGCGCTCAAGGTGGTGTACAACATATTTAAAATACAATTCAGTTAAAACATCATAGTACATAAATTAATTAATTTAAAATCAGACAATCAGATGTGATTCCAGTAAAACCAGTAGAAGCAACCTTCTATCTTTGATGGCATTCTGCATGTGACCATTTCCTCCAAGGGGCTGGGTCATGGGCCGGATAAGATGGAAAACCATTGCTGTTGTCAACCACAGGCCTGGTGGAACATCTCTGTGCAAGGTCCCGCAGGTCGTGGATGTCTCCAGGTAGAGAGAGAGTTCCACCAGGCAGGAGCCAGGGCCGAAACAGCTAGACATCTTTTGAGTCTGGGATCACCAGCAGGTTTTGATCTTGTGAGCCTAACATTCTTTGGGGGACATACCGGATAATACAGGACTTAGGGAAAATAGAGCTTGTCTGGCTGTGATATATTTGCATACTTTCTCTGGTTTAGTGGTTGTTCCTGTCTGAGGAATCAGACACAGGGAATGGAAACTAGTTACTAGCTAAGGGCAGTCTCAATAAATACTGCTGGTAGCTCCTTGTGCTTAGATAACTCTCATGCCTGATGCATATTTTGTGGCACGATTTAAAATCTAGTTCTTTCCTACTATTCTTGGGGAAGGGTTATAGTCTATCAATATTTTAACAAGCAAATGTCAAATTTCTCTTTTTATATATTCCTCTTGTGGGCTTTAAGCTTTCTGCTTTTGATTTTTAAGTTTTATAAAATAGTTCCTCTTGGCTTCTAGCATTTACTTGTGCTAATTTGTCCATGTAGACTCTAAATAAACACTTCTCATGTGATCCTCTCTTTCTGCATTGCATGGCCTAGGCTACTCTTTTGGCTCACTTTGCAGTCTGGTTTTTGAACTGCCCTTCCCAAATCTAAATTTGCATGGCAGCAAGACAATAGGGCTTGGAGGAAGGGCAGGGTTTCGTTTCACTGAACACCAGTCTTTGGGAGATGCAGGAAATGGCACAAGCCCCTTTTGCTGATTCCAGAAGCATTGGGAGAAAGAGAACGGGATGAGAAGGACTTGGACTTGTGCTGTGCTCTGCATTTTCTAAAGCCTTGCATGATGTGAGGCCTTTCCACATGTCAGCAGGTTTGGTGTAGGCCTTGTATGGTTCATTTTGCACATCATTCTCAGTAGGGAATTACAGAAGTCTAGTATGAGAAGTATTACAAATACTATTAAGAAAAGAAGCGATAAAACTCTTTCCACATACACAAAGACTTCTTAACTTCCAAAGAATAGTCCCTTTCTCTCTTCTGTCATGGATGGATACGGGGGGGGGGGGGAGCCCTGCTTAACTTGGCATACTTCATGTTCCAATAACCTAATTCAATTTAGTTTCCTAGAGCTTTTCGTGAATGGATATCCTTGCAAAATGGCTGTTCCCTATGCTGTACACTGTGAAGTTGGTTGATAAGCACTCTTAGAAAGGAAGGTCCCCTCTCTCTCCATCTATTTCTCATTGTCAGTCACCTCACTTTTTTCTGTGCTCTTCTGTGCAGACATTAATCTCTGTGGTCAGGGACCCTATTATGTCTGTCCTGCACAGTGCCTAGTGCATAACAACAGTCCTTAATGACACTCCCATTATCTAGTGGCAGAACTTTAAGTAGCCGAACTTTGAAATTACCTGGGTTTCCCCCCCTAAATACATCCTCCCTGAGCTGTGATTATAACATGATGTAGAATGCAAACTGTAGTCTGGAAACTTGCTTCAGGTCAGGTGCACTAATCTGTCTTCCAATTTAAAACAACCAAAACAGAGAAATAACAGGGAGGGCACAAAAGGCCTTCAAACACAAAGACATTTGACACTAAGGCTTACGATAAAAAAAGAGCTTTGGTAGATGACAGGAATTAGAGGGAGAAGGTAGAGTCGAATGTTCCTGCCTGCTTTGTCCCTCTAGAGCCATGGGCTTTGGGGAGTTATTATTACATGGGTGGGCAGTGAGCCATACCAGACTTGGTGCACCTGATTTAGAGGCAGGCCAAGGCTCCCTAATTGTTTGGGGGTTCTGCCCATTCAGCAACCCATTTTGCTAGTTCAAATGAAAAAGGATGCTTTTGATGTAAGTGCTACTTTCAAGTGCTGTGGGTATTGTAATAGAGAGGCTTTCTTTTTCCCTCCAGCTGTGTTGTTTGTACTTTGAAGAGGCTTAGCATTTCTGGGAACTGCACTGAATCTTTCTGTGCATTCATTTTAAAACACAGCCTAGGAGCTTTTTCTAAAGAGAACTGAGCAGTCCAACCTCTAGAGATTAAAGTCAGGCTTCCTTTTTGGACAATTATAGCTCAGGGTTGGTTGTGTTACGGGAAAAAGAAATAACTGCAGGGCCACATCTTGCAATGCTTTCCTCCTCAGTGCATTTGTATACATATGTGGGATGGGCTCTGTGTGTGTAATGACTTGGGTTTGGCTCATGTGGCAGTTGAGATGGCAAGCATGGCTTTGGCAAGCCAGTCTGAGGTTCAGATCTGTGCTCGCTCCAGTGGGAAGCTCACTTTCCTGTGGTTCATGACCAGCACTTTATTTAAGCCAGTTGAGATTGACAGGCATGTGGACGCCTTTGGCAAGAGCTTGAGGATCTTGAATGGTGATGGTAGATGCATCACAAAGGTAATTGCTTGTCAACCAGGGTGAGAGCAAATGTTGAAATTCATGTTGAGGTGGTTCTTTTTCTCTCTAGGAACAGGAGGAGCTTTATCTGCGTTCTGGTATTGTATCTGCTTTGACATTTGAGCAGCCTAATCGTTATGTCAAGCTGTGGGTGAAGATGGTAACACCTTTGATTAAGAACTTCTTCTGAAAAAGGTAGGCTTACCCTTTGGATACATTTTCTCTATTGCTTTTTTATACCGTCTTCCTGCTTGCAAGGATTTAAATCAATCCATAGGAAATTAAAAAATCCACTTAACTCTCCTTTTTTCCTGGAGCAGTGCTCTTCCTGCATACCATGAAGCCTAGTGCTCAGAGACCTATAATAGATTGTCCTTGTTGTTGCAAAATTTATTTTTTTCACCCTGTTACATTTGGGGGGAAAAGGGTAAAATTATTTATAAAGTAACTGGGCCCCTCTGCAAGCAAGTGATACTGACCTGAGGAAGAATTTCAGCTCTCTTATGAACGTTTGACCACTTTCTGTACAGTTACAGATGCTGCAGTTTAAAATACATATGCTTCATGTTAATTGTGAATGTGCATGGAAGTTGCTTTTTATCCCAGCAAAATACACAAAAGGGTCAATCTGAAACATCTAGCACCCTCTTTTAGGCACTTTGCTGAGAAAGAAACATATTCACAACTAATGCAAAGTGCAGGTCTTTTGTAGTCTGGTATCTGTACCCAGTCCAGAAGCCTATTAAAGGTGACATTTGATTAGTACAAAGTTCTCACAGATCTTCTTTGTGGTCTCTGTGCATCACACCTCTGGGATATAGTGCTCCTGCGCCGACCCCGATCAGTAAATTTGAAACCTAAAAGGGATTTTTGCGCCCACTCCCAAGTCATGTGCAGGGGGCTCTACTGTGCATGACTACAGGGATGGGCATGACAATCCCACCAGTTTTCTTCTAACCACTGCGCTGTTAGGATCTCCCTCGCTCCGGTCAGTAACTTTCCTCCTATGGAATAGAGTTAGTGATTTTTTCACTGAAGGGTGCGGCCCTCATGGGCCACCCTTCCCTTACATCCCCCTCTTCGTCTACCGGCTTATGCTCAAATGATGGGGCTTCTTTAAGCAGTGCAGCAGCAAAATCGCATCCCCTGACGGACACTCCCTCTGCCTCTTGTGCCTCGGGGAAACTCACTGAGTCGATTCCTGAGTTCTTGAGGAATATATAAGTTATAAGTTCTCGGAGGAAACCTGCGCATGCGTCAGTAAGATTAGGTGCCTAACGCTACCCCTCCGAGAAAGGAGTTAGATAAAATAAAACCAGAAACTGGAAGATAAGGATGGAAGAGTAACCCTAGGGAGGAGGAAACCTCAAAGAAGAGATAACTTTGGACTTGGTGAGTCTTCTCTATAAGGCTAATTAACTTAATTAAAGCCTTTCCTCATAATGGCGTCAAGGAGATGGCTGAGCTTATATCTAACATGGAAAGAAACATCAGAGAGGGCATCACTTGTCCACCGACAATCGGGATCAATCATCGGGGCTCCCCCCTCCACCACCATTCCATGGGACCAACGCCAGTGGCATTTTCGATACAGGGCCTACCCACCTTCGACTGGCTTTTGAGCAAGGGAAACCTTTATATTATAATACTGGCTGATTTGTTTTCAGTTCCCTTCCTAATAATCCCGAGCATAGCGTTGGCCTTTTTTACTGCAGTTGGACACTGTCTCGACATTTTCATTGAGTTATCTACTACTACTTCAAGATCTCTCTTGGTCACTCTCTGCCAGTTCGGATCCCATCTACGTGTATTTATAGTTAGGATTTTTGGCTCCAATGTGCATCACTTTGCACTTGGCCACACTGAACCCCATTTGCCATGTTGACGTCCACTCACCCATCCTCGACAGATCCCTTTTGAGTGCCCCACAATCCTCACTGTTTCTCACCATCCTGAACAACTTCGTGTGATTTGCCCATTTATACTTACTCTCTGTTTCCTATTTAGCCAGTTTTTGATCCACAAAAGGACTTGTCCTTTTATCCCATGACTATTGAGCTTACTTAGGAGCCTTTGATGAGGAACTTTATCAAAAGCTTTCTGGAAGTCAAGGTAAACAACATCTATTGGGTCCCCCTTGTCCACATGTTTGTTCACTCCCTCAAAGAACACATAACAGGTTAGTGAGCCAAGATCTTCCCTTACGGAACCCATGCTGAGTCTTCCTCAATAGTTTTTGTTCATCAAGGTGCCTACTAATTCTTTCCTTAATAACAGTTTCCACCAACTTACCAGGTATCGATGTCAGACTGACTGACTGGCCTGTAATTTCCCGGATCTCCTCTGGAACCCTTTTTAAAGATAGGAGTGACATGAGAGTGGTTCTGGAGTGGGCAAGCACTTCTCATCTTCCACAGTGAAGACAGAGGCAAAAAATGCATTTAGCTTCTCAGCCATTTCCCTATCATCCTTCAGTACTCCTTTTACCCCTTGGTCATCCAAGGGCCCCACTGCCTCCCTGGCTGGTTTCCTGCTTCTAATGTATTTGAAGAAAGTTTTATTGTTGGTCTTTACGTTTTTTGCTACATGTTCCTCATATTCCCTTTTTGCCTGCCTGACCACAGACTTGCATTTTATTTGCCACAGCTTGTGTTCCCTTTTATCAGCCTCACTGAGACTAGCTTTCCACCGCTTAAAGGAATCCTTCTTACCTTTTACAGCTTCCATTACTTGGTTTGTTAACCATGCAGGCTTTTTTCTATACCTATTTGTGCCTTTCCTAACCTGTGGTATATATTTTTTCTGAGCTTCTAGGATTGTAGTTTTAGATAGTCTCCAAGCTTCCCCAATGGTTTTGACCCTTTCTACTTTTCCTTTCAGTTTCTTCCTCAAATGTCCCCTCATATCAGAGAAGTTACCCCTTTTAAAGTTAAATGTGGTTGTGTCAGTCTTTTTGGGCAACTCCCTATTTATACAAATGTTAAACAATAACATTATGGTCACTGTTCCCAAGCAGTGCAATCACTTTATTTATAACTAGGAATCAATGTATCCCACTGATTTTCTTCATCTCTCCCAGTTTCTGAAATACCCACTATGTCTGTTTTCCCACCAACACCAAGTATTCCAACTCCCCGATTTTACCTCAGACACTTCTAGCATTTGTATATAAACATCTATAGTTTCCCATGTATGTTAAGCCAACAACCTTCCTCTTGCTGCCTTGAGACCTTGCCAGCCAGTCCATATCTTTTGCCACCATCTCAGTGGACAATTCTAATCCATTTCCTTGTAGAAAAGTAACAGCCACCCCTTCATCTCTTTGAGATGAGCCATCCGGAACCAGAGACTTTTCATCTCCTGTCAACTTCCCCCCAATATTCAGTTTAAAAACTGCTCTGCCACCTTTTTGACTTTAAGCACCAGCAGCCTGGTTTCTTCTCGGGACAAGTGGAGACTGTCTGTTTTGTACAGCTCCCTCTTGTTCTCTTATGCCATGCCTTCACTCAGGCTTAAGCTGTCATCCCAAAGGCTGTCCAGATGGATTGTGGAAACTATTAAGATCTATTACCTATTGGCTAAGAAACCACTCCCAGGCCTGCTCCATGCTTACTCCACCCAGGCCTTAGCTACTTCCATGGCTTTCCTGAAGGGTATACTACTTCGTAATATTTGCAGCGCAGCGACTTGTGGTACCCCTCACACGTTTGTGAAGCATTATGCCCTTGATGTGTGTCTCCATCAGCGAACTTCAGTGGGAGATTTGATGTTGCAATCAGTGTGTGTCTGAGGACCCTCCAGCACCCTCCTCCAGGTAGGCCTTTGCTTGTTACTCTCCCAGAGGTGTGATGCACAGAGACCACGAAGAAGATCAACAGGTTGCTTACCTGTACCTGATAATCTTGGAGTGGTCATCTGTGCATTCACATTACCCACCCTCCTTCCCCACTGCTGTTGGTCCTCCTATTTTTCTCTGAGACTGATGGCAGCGGTCAGAAGGTACTGGCGGGATTGTCATGCCCCTCCCTGTAGTCATGCGCAGTGGAGCCCCCTGCACGTGACTCAGGAGTGGGCGTGAAAATACATTTTAGCTCTCAAGTTTACCAATTGGGGTCAGCACAGGCACACTATATCCCAGAGGTGTGAATGCACAGATGACCACTTGAAGATCATCAGTTACAGGTAAGCAACCTGTATTTCTTGATTTCTAGCAAGCAGGAGTTTCAGAGTGCTGGTGCAAGGGCCTGTGAATCCACTGTATTCCTACAGTTGCAAAAAGCAGACTAAATTATCTTTTCCTTCTCTTTGATATGTTGACAACCATTTCATCCAGAGCTCCTTTGGAAGTGTAACTGATCATCCAGAGGATTTAAAAGTAGACTGAAACCTATCAAAAATAAAGGAAAATAAAAGCTGTATGAGCAGCACTCCCTGGGAGATCTCCAGTTTGTCAAACCCAAATAGGTCTGGTACCTTACCAATCCTGAATTTCTTGCAAAGGTTGCCAACTTGGTGATGAGACAGGGGCTTGTCATTCATGAATTTTGGAGGTGATTGTGCATTTTGCCATGAATGAGAATTTTTAGTTAGCCTTACCAGTTTTAAATGGCTGCAAACTGGTCAGTCACAAGAGCACCTAGTATTGGCTTCTCTCCTTAGGAATCAGCTGATAGACAAGTCTGGTTGTGTGCCCTTTGTGCTTAAAAAGATCAAATTCTGTGCTTAGGCAATCCAAATTAAGCACCACAAAACCCTGAATTAAAAAAATAATGTTATTTTGCAGGATTTGTTTTTAGTGCAGTGTAGTTTTTCTACAGAATTTGACATAAGTAAAGGCATGAGGGGCAGTGTGAGAGAGGTGGGTTAAAGTAATAGCGGGGTCTTAAAAAACCAGGGAGTTATACAGTGGATCCCTTGATTTGTGGACCTTTGTGTGCTACACTTTGATTTCATGCTTAGCTCCACAAGAATGAAGATTAGGACACTGTTCCTATCACTCACTGCATATAGCTGGTTGTTAAACTGGAAGGAGTTGGGAATAACTTTGGAGAAGTGCTGTCATTGCCATGACTTCCTAGTGGAGCATGTGCTTAGGTTGCAACAGAATGGAAGTGTTCTGTGTGTTGCCCGTGCATAGTGTCTTATACTGTGGAGAAGACACTAGGAATGCTGGACTTGGATGCATCATCCCAAGATCAGTGCTGAATGCTTCTGTAGCAGTAAACAAGCTAGCTGAGAATGAAGTTGTCAGTTGGATATGGAAGAGGAATCCAGATGGACCTTGCACACAGGCTTCTCTGTTCTTTCTGGTGGGCTAGTGCAGAGCCAGTTCTGGCTGAATTTGTATTCTGTCCCTAGCAGAAGGTTATCATAAATTATGGTAAATGAACTGTTTTATACCCACATGACCAACAAATATCACTTCGGACACACTTCCAAGGAATGTGCTGTTTATTGGCAATTTGCAAATGACTGGCTTGGCTTGGACTTCTGGTTAAAAGAAGAGCTTTGCTGTTAAATGGAGCATTAAACTTGTAACAGCAAAGCAACCCCAGCAAGAATCCACTTAGCTGGCTTCTCTTTTGTCTTCAGGTTGAAGGTCCAGACATAGGTGGGGCCTCGCATGCGTGTCTTGTACACAGGACATTCGTACATGTTCTTGGTATCCATGCGGTCCACAGGGATGGCTTTGATGAAGATGACGGGCGTCGGAGGTGTCAGCTCTTTCAGCCGTGCATCGCTGATAACACCAGTCTGAACATCCCAGCGAGCACCTGCAGCAGAAAAGAATTCTTGAGACTGTGGCCTGCTGATTCATCCCAGAGGATGCTTAGTTTGCAGCAAATGCTAAGGAAGGAAGGGAGCCCAGCACTTTCCACCTTCTGTCTTTAGCTGGCTAAAGGCTAGGTGTTTGGCTTGGGTGTGCCTTGGGTGCCATCTCAAAAATTTACTTATGCATTTGGCAGTGTTACAACCATAATCTAAAAAGCCAGATTTAAGCTCTGCCCTTACTTTTAACCTGCAGCAAGGTTATGATCAGTGTTCTTTTACTCTAGAAAGCTGTATTATTCTTCCTCCTGCAAGTCCCTTGGTTTTAGTCCACTAGGTAATAGAAACATAAGCCCCTTGTCTATACTTGATTGAGAACAATAAATGGTCAGGCTTCTTCAGCCTCCTTTAAAAATAATTGTTACTAGGCAAAAAAAAGACATTGATCTTAGATACTACATTCCAAGCCTTATTCACACTTTTAAAAGGGGGAGAGTTGAACCAACTCCATTAAGCCATTACCTTTGTTGCTCTTAAAGTTCTAGTCTTGCTAAGGACTGTAAAATGGGCATGTGCTGCCCCCTGCTGACATGTTAACAATTAGCAAAATTAAAAAGGCAGCTATTCAAACTGTCTGTTTCATTACTTTCTAGTTGATTGTTGTATAGTGGAATATAGCTGTCAAACTCGGGTCCTTGTTTGCCATGAGTTTCTCATGTTCTGTTTTAACTGCCTGTCTTGTACGTGTAATGCTTTGTTCCTTCACTTTGGGGATGGGGGGCCTGTGTGAGAGTGTGTGTGTTTAAGAATGCTTTGCGGCACTAATTTACAACTGCTTTCCAAGTGGGCCTCCCAAGCTAGGAAGAATGTACAACGACCTTGAAGGCCAATCTCTGCTAGCTGGCTTTTAGTAGATAGTGTAACTGTAGGTTCGCAGGGGAGGGGAGGAGGGCTAATGGAGTGCACTAGGCTTAGGCAGGCTGAATGAATGGATTGATTGGACCGGTCACTGGGCAGGCTTGTTTGAATTATGTATAATTTCAGAACTGGCACCAACGGAGTAAGTTCTGACATGGAATGGTCTCAGCTTGATAGATTCTCATCTCTCACTAAACAAGTCACTGCCAAGAGAGTGTTGTTGAGAGCAAGTTTGTTCAAGAGTCTGACATAGTGTCAGAACTCCTTCATTACCTCGACCTATTGCACTACTGCCGTGATGAACGAAGAAGACAAGGACACTGGGACTCAGACTGACAGACCGGCCCATGAACCACTCATCCCAACAGACGAGGGGAAACTCCAAGGCAAGGAGGTGAGACAGAAGGAGCAGCAACCCATACAAATAAGATGGGATGATCCTGACTGGCTGGTAACACCCAGTCCAGAGCGTGTCCAAATCGGTCAAGATCGTTCCACGACAACCCCGAGCACCTGCGAGTGGCCGGGTTACCTGCTGAAGAAACTGATATTGAGCTGGTCAGGCAGGAATTCCAATGCGAAATGGACGAACTGTGGCGGGACACCCAAGCAGCCCTGGCGGATCTCCCAGCTGCTATCCGAGAGGCTTGCAGCAGGAGCTCCAGGCCATGGGGGGTAGCCCCATCCAGCACGTCCCCACAGGACCCCCAGCATGCCCAGTGCCTGCACCGCAGCCCCAGCCAGTGCCCAGCCTGGACCACCACCTGCGCTGGCCAGGCCGAGAGAAGTGCTAGAAGCTATGTTTGACAGGACATCAGAGAAGTTGGCATTCTTTGTTTTGCAGGTGCAGAAGTTCCTGAGGGAATGGGGCCCCGGTGATGGGGCTGGGAGCTAAGGTGCACAAACTAGAGGAACCTTTCAAATTCTCCCAGATAGATGGGACACCAATGAAGGGGGAGCCCTGTATGTACTGCACAATTCACCTGCCAGTAGGGGTTGGCTCCCACTGGAAACTGCAATCCTTTCTCGTAAACTCCTTGGCCAAGTTCCCAATGGTTTTGGGGAGCCCTTGGCTCCAGGCCCACGGTTGTCCAATGGAGTGTGGGAGCCTTGCAGTTTCTGGACTCCTGCTGCAAAGAGCATAATTGGAATCCAGAATGGGGGAAGATACCAAGCCGGGCACCAGAGCAGGTATGGCTGGCTCAAGAGGAACTGAGCCACATCCCCCCGGAGTACAGAGACTTGACCAGAGTATTTGAGGGGGGGGGGGCGGATGAACTTCCCCCTCATCGGAAGACTGACTGTGCCACAAAATGCCCAAGGGGAAACTCTGTTCCATGAGCCCGGCGGAGAAAGAGGAGATGCGAAGGTTCACTGATAAAAAGCTTGGCCAGAGGGTTCATTTGACCAGCAGCCTTGCCTTTTGCTGCCCTGGTGCTTTTCTGCAAAAAGAAAGATGGGGGATTGAGACTTTGCATGGACTATCAGGGTCTGAATGCTGTGTCCATGTCTAATGTCTACCCCCTCTCATTGATAGAGGACTTGCTGGCAGAGGCCGCTAGAGGCCGAATTTTTACCAAATTGGACTTAAGGGATGCATACGTCCAGGTGCACATCAGGGAGGGGGACGAACATAATACTGCCTTTAACACCCCGTTAGGCCAGTCTGAATACCTGGTGATGCTGTTCGGGCTTGCAGGGGCCCCAGGGGTGTTCATGAACTTAATCAATGAAGTGTTACACAAATATTTATTCAAGGGGTTTTTGTTTATCTTGATGATATCTTGATCTATTCAGAAGATAAGTACTCGCATGTGCAGTTCATCAGGGAAGTGCTGAAAGCCCTCTATCAGAATCGACTGTTTACAAGACTGTCTAAGTGCGAGTTCCATAAGGAGGAACTGGACTTTCTGGGGTACCAGATTTCCAGGAAAGGCCTGGGCATGGACCCCCACAAAATTCAGGATGGATTTATTTATTTATTTATTTACTTACTTACTTACACTTTCGACTTATATTCCGCCCTCCCCACATGGGCAGGTTCAGGGCGGCTTACAGCAGGTTAAAAATAACAATAAATACAATAAAACATGGATACATCGACAAAGCAAAAATCTAAAATTCAATCAGTCACATTTATACGTAAAGTGCTGTTGCTTATGGATGGCGGTAGCGTTTCCAAGTCTATGTTAGATGGTAGAGAGTACACTGTGGCCATACCTATGTCATTAGCTGTTCTTGTTGTTCTCAACATGAGGGCCTTAAATGTTTAGATGTTAGCAGTTAAGGTGTTGTCCATGTGTTGGTGCTAGTGGTGGCTCCTAATCGAAGGCTTGGTGGAAGAGCTCCGGTTTACAGGCCCTGCGGAACTGTAAATGGTCCTGCAGGGCCCTGATGTCCTCCGGGAGCTCATTCCACCAGTATGAAGCAGCCATTGAAAAGGCCCTGTCCCTGGTAAAGGCCAGTCTGGCGTCCTTCGGACTGGGGAGAGCCAGGCGGTTTTGTGACCCTGACCTCAGTGCTCTCTGGGGAACTATGGGGAAAGGTGGCCCCTCAGGTAGGCAGGCCCCCGACCATATAGGGCTTTAAAGGTCAAAACCAGCACCTTGAAACGAATCCGGTATGCTATTGGCAGCCAGTGCAATGCCTTCAGCACAGTCCAGATGTGCTCTCGTATAGAGAGGCCCATCAGCAGCCTGGCTGCCGCATTTTGCACCAGCTGCAGCTTCTGGATTTGGGACAAGGGCAGCTCCATGTAGAGAGCATTATAGTAGTCTAGTCTCGAGGTGACCATAGCATGGATCACTGTTGCCAGGTCATTGTGTTCGAGGAAGGAAACTGCCTGATCAGCTAAAGATGGTAAAAGGCTGCTTTGACAGTGGCTGCTACCTGGGCCTCCATTGTTAAGGCGGCATCCAGGAGCACTCCCAAACTCCTAAGCCTCGGCACTGGCACCAGCGGTGCCCCATCGAAGGTTAGTAGTGGGATTCCTACCCCCGATCCACTCTGACTGAAGCACAGGACCTCCGTCTATATTGGATTCAATTTCAGTCGGCTCAGCCTAAGCCAGCCTGCCACTTCCTGAAGCACCCGGTCCAGATCTTCTGGGGCTGAGTCAGACTGACTGCCCAACAACAGCTGGGTAGCTGGGTATCATCTGCGTATTGGTGACACCCTAGCCTATGCCTCTGGGAAATCTGAGCAAGGGGGCACATGTAGATGTTGAATAACATTGGGGATAGTACCACCCCTTGAGGGACCCCGCAAGTCAGCAGGTGCCTCCGGGATGTCTGATCCCCTAAAGCCACCCTTTGTCCCCCATCTTGGAGGAAGCCATTGCAAGGCAAGCCCCTGAATCCCAGTGTTGGTGAGGCGGTGGGTCAGTAACTGATAGTCAACCGTGTTGAATGCCGCCGAAAGATCCAACAACGACAGTACCGCCGTCCTGCCCCGATCCAGATGCCTCCGGAGGTCATCTGTGAGGGTGACCAGTGCTGTCTTCGTCCCATGGCTTGGGTGGAAGCCGGACTGGAAAGGGTTTAGCATGGAAGTATCATCCATAAAGCTCTGCAACTGTATCGCCACCGGTCTCTCAATTAGTTTGCCCAAATAGGGCAAATTGGAGACTGGCCAGTAGTTCGCCAATTCGGCTGGGTCCAAGGATGGTTTTTTAAGGAGAGGGCGGACCATCGCTTCCTTGAGTGCCCCCAGGAACAGTCCCTCTGTGAGGATGGGAACACTCTCAAACAAGGCGGCAGCTACAGTCATTCCTCAGGTTTGCCAATTTCTCATCACCCGTTCATCCCAAATTTTGCCCACCCCTCACTGATCTATTGAAAACAAAGGTGAAGGGACCAGAAAGCCACAAACCAAGTTACAAGTTGTTGTGGACCACAGAATGAATGGATTGATTGGACTGGTCACTGGGGGGGGGGTTGTTTGAATCATGTATAATTTCAGAACTGGTGCCAAAGGAGTCAGTTCTGACACAGAATGGTCTTAGCTTGATTCATTCTCATCTCTCAATAAACAAATCACTGCCAAGAGAGTGTTGTTGAGACCAAGTTTGTTCAAGAGTCTGACAATAGCTCTGTCATTAGCTGAACTTGGAAGCACCTTGGGAGAGGAAATGTCCCTCAATTTCTGGCTGGTGGAAGCCCAAGATTTTCACAACTAAATATATCCATCAGCACTTGGTGCATCTTGTACCTTTCTCCTTTACTAAAGCATTCACAGAGAAGCAGCTCTGTTTATAATGTTAGTGTATGAAATCCAAATAAAAAGGTCAGTGTTTACGTAGTTTATATAGGACATGGAGGTAGGAAGCAAAGCCCAGGACCAAATAGAAGCCCTTAAAGAGGATAAGCAGGAGAGTAAGTTTTATCTACCTCTCCATCAGTCCCAAGGAAATAAGTGCAAAGGGGAGGCTATAGATTAGGTCAAAGCAGAAACTGCTTTGTACTTCTAAACATGAACTTTCCATCTCTGAATATGGTAATGAGATTTTACCTTCCATAAAGAGCCCATGCACATAGGAGCCCTCTCGAGGTGGAGCTGTCATATCCTCTCGATTCTTTTTGGTAACTTCCACTGAAAGGCACATTCTGTCAAGAGGCCACTCATTTTTCCTAGCCATGGACTGCATAATGGCTGTAAGGAAAGACTGCGGATTAAAGAAACCCGCTAGCCACACTGTTGTAGGTAGGGCAAAATCTGTTGTCCAGGCTTCCAGCTCCTGAAAAAGGAAATGGTGACAGCAGATTATAGCCAAGTATGCTGGCTGGTCTACGTAGACTTCTTTGCAGTTTGAACTATCTGTACATTCCCAAAGAGATCCTGGTTTGTGCTTGCCTGTTTCCTTTAGTTCCTCATGTTAACCTTGCAAAACTGGGTGGAATAAGAACTCAGCAGTTTGAACAGTGTGTCTGATTGGAGCACAGGTCCTTTGGGGCTGAAAGCATGCCAATGTAATCATATTTACCGTGTTCTTTTTTTAAAAAAAACATACATCAAACCCCAAGTGTTGGCAGCCCTTTGCATTCTGTGATCCAAAGATCCCAATGGGTAGCTGTGTTAGTCTGTCTGTAGCAGTAGAAAAGACCAAGAGTCCAGTAGCACCTTTAAGATGAACAAAATGTGTGGCAGGGTATGAGCTTTCGTGAGTCACTGCTCACTTCTCACGACATGAAGGCTCCTACCCTGCCACATATGTTGTTAGTCTTTAGGGTGCTACTGGACTCTTGCTCTTTTCTATTGCCAAAGATCCCAGTATGTGAATGGAAGGCACTTCTAGTTGTCTGTTTTCTCCTTTCTGTGCTCCCTTCTCTGAAAGCTGCTTGGCAGAGTCTGCTGACTCTAAGTCAGTTTATGGGGTACAGCAGGTGAGGCAATGAGCCACTCTCCCTGTGTGAACAGGAACTCCTTCATGCGGTGAGAGCTTTGGTCCAATCCTGTGTGTCTAGGTTTATGACATGGGAAGTGCCTGCTACTTTGTAACCACTGGTATCTGTTGGGCCTAGCACTCTGCAATATATTCTGTTAGAGCAGCTTGTGCAGTTTTGTGTGCATTTGCTCTCTTCTGAAAGTTTGGGTTTCTTTTGTCAACCACCATTACTGGTAAAGATCAGTTACATGGGATGATGAAGGACAAAATAATGCAGAAAGCTGGGGGGAAATGGGAATCAGCATATGCTGAGCAAGTTCCCCTCCCTACTTTAGGCAGGCTTTACACAGACCACCTCTTACTACTTTTGTCTAGTTCACGTAAGTAAAACTGCTGGTATGTTTGGATTTCTGAAAAAACCTGCCAAATCAGCATTACCCATATTTCTAGCTCTATTGTTTAGCAGTATCTCCAATTGCTACATGGCTGACTTATATGCAGCTGCAATGGTCAACTAACTGCTTTTGGTAATAATTGTATGTTTTGATTGAAGTCAGTACAACAATCATGAGCCACAATAGTTTATTAAAGGCTATAGTGATTCAACTAAAGACTTAGTATGGAATATTTGGTAAAATTGTTGCCAACTGTTCGGAAGACTGAAAACTTGTGCTTAAAGAAATTGGAAGGCTTTAACTGAGGCAAATCTCCCTACCCTGATTCGAAGCAGTAGATCCGCATACCACGCTGCTAAGCCAAGCAAAGATGGATAGGCACGGTTTGTCCAGGAGTCAGGCACGTTATCATAATACAGGGCATTTGACAGTTCTTCCATGTCTGTCGTGATTGTCAGCTCTCCCTGGAGAGGTGGGGATGAAAGCTTTTAATTGCATTCCTTTAGTCGGAGGGGTCCAAAGGTAGGGATCCCATTCCCGACCTCCGTGCCAGAGGTTAGGAGTCTGGGAGTGCTCCTGGATGCCTCCCTAACGATGGAGGCCCAGATAGCAGCCACTGCGAAGTCAGCCTTTTATCATCTTCAGCTGATCAGGCAGCTGGTTCCCTTCCTTGAACACAACAACTTGGCGACAGTGATCCATGCAATGGTCACCTCGAGACTGGATTACTGTAATGCTCTCTTCATGGGGCTGCCCTTGTCCCAAATCTGGAAGCTGCAGCTGGTGCAGAATGCGACAGCTGGGCTGTTGGGCCTCCCCATGCGGGAGCACATCCAGCCTGCTCTAAAAGCATTGCACTGGCTGCCCATAGCATACCAGATTCGCTTCAAGGTGCTGGTTCTTACCTTTATGGTCAGGGGCCTACATACCTGAGGGACTGCCTTTCCCCACATGTTCCCCAGAGAGCACTACGACAAGGGTCCCAAAATTGTTTGGCCCTTCCAGGCCCCAGAGATGCCAGGCTGACTTCGATGAGGGCCAGGGCCTTCTTACTGGCGGTTCCACACTGGTGGAATGAGCTCCTGGAAGATATCAGGGCCCTGCGGAACCTTTTACAGTTCTGCAGGGCCTGTAAGATGGAGCTCTTCCACCAGGCTTTCGACTAGTGACTCGCACTTAACAAACGAATGGCCCCAATATTAATACCATCATTGACAGCCTGTACTCCACCGATATGACCCAGACTGAGACATTAGCCGACTGTACCCATATTATGTGGACGCTCCTAATGCCTCGCCATCACTATATAATCTGCACTAGCACTTTTGTAGTGTTTTATATTTATATTCTATTTGATTTCTTTCTTTTATCTGTCTAATGAAGTTTTATGTAAGCCGCTCTTAGCCTGCCCTGGCAGGAAGGGCAGGATATAAAATAAATAAATCATAATCACTTGGGCTATACAGTCCATTTCGATAATTAAGGGTGTCTCTCTTTCTCAAAAATTCTGATTATTTTAGTGCTTTGGGGCCATCTCTGTATGATGCTGTACACACATGTTTTTGCTGGATGAGTAACTTTTGGCTTTACAGCTCCAATGTCAAAGTACTAATCCAGTTTCTGTGAGCTGCTGTATGTAGGACCAGCTGCCTTGGCTCTTAGAGCCAGTGGGGCTTCCCTAACTGGTCAGCAGCAGTATTCCCTTCAGCTTCTCCAGAGGGCCAGAACGCAAAGCCCTGCAATGGGGGGAGGGGGGGGGAGAGTGCAGCACACCAAAGTTACCACTTTGAAGCCAGTCTGCTTCCTGTAAACCCTGCCCCCAGTAATATAGAGAATGTGCTAGAATGTTCATGCCTCCAGGCAGTGAATTTCTTTTGCTCTGAATTACATAGTTGACTTGAGCCACAAGGAAAGGCAGGGTATAAATGTTCTAATAAAGAAAATTAATAAATTACCTGCCTGTAAGTATGAACTGAATCTGAGCAAAGAGCACCTCTCAACTTTAAAGTGTACATGAACACTGGCATATGCAGTATTTTGGCAGGGAAAACAGTATTATGTTAGTAAACAAAAGTATCATGGTCTACCAGGTAAAAGTGTCCTTCAGTTAAGTACCAGGAGAGACAAAAATCACAGATCTGATGAGTTATAGAGCTACTTTTGAGAGATGCTCCATGCTGTTTCTAAGGCAGTTGAAGATGTCATTAAATTTGGTTTTCCAGTACAGTACTAGCAATTGCATAATAGGCACCTACCTTCAACCCCAAGTTTAATTCCTTCAGAGAACGTCTAATTTCACTAGTAAGGATGTTCATGCGTTCACATTCCTGGAAGGCAACCACCACATATGGGGTCTTCTCTTGTGCCTTTGCCATGATTTCCACCATATTGAATGGTTCTGGAAGCCGATCCATTATTTCATCTAGCACAGATTTTACCTATTATTACAAAAGACCAAACATATATTTTGTAGTGGATAGCGTTCCAAAAATTTCTGCAAAGTAATTTTAAAAAATCACTAGAATAATAGATATGCTCCAACAGGAGGATAGCCTTCAGAGTAGAATGTCCCAAATTTCCTTCCACTCAAAGAAAGCTAAGTGTGATTTTAGTGGAGGAAAGGACAGAACTGTAGCTCTTTAGTCAGGGCAAGCTTATTGCACACAGTCAAAACGCAATGTTACAAGAACTCAAACAGTAACAAGGTCCTGGAGATCAACTGCAGAAGGGTGGCACTTTCCCTACCTTTTCCTCTCTGGACACACCAGTCCCTCCTCCAGCATCTGACTCTTTAGGTTGCATTTCCAACACGGTGCGGAAAAGTTTCTCTGAGGTGACTGTGAGGAAGCCGATTTCGGCATTAGGGTGAAGCCCATACAGGTAAGGACTCTCTGGTGGAAGATTCTCATCAATATATTCATGATATCCCTATAAAATAGTTGTTTTATGCAGTGTTAGATGTTATGTGGTAGTTACTTCTCAGCAGGTGTTTCAGCTGTGTAGCCCAGTGAACACATCCTTAACTTTATGCTGGCTTCCAGTTCGCTATGTGCTTCTAACAATTTTTGCCTCTCTCTTGGCTATTTCCCCAGGGAGTTCTGTCCAGCTTGCCCTCCAGCAGGACACCTTTTCCCATGGTTGTCTGCAGTGCTGTCTTTGTTTGCCGTCATCTGCCTTTCCTTGTTCTCCATACTGAACCCTGCAACTAATTCTCCAGACCTTAATTTCGTATGAGGCATAACTCTTGTATAGGCCACAACCTTACTGCCCTTGCCCCTCAAATTATTTCCAGCTCAGCAGGTTGTCAGAATAATTCCCACTCTTCTCACCTTGTAGTCAGAGTTGGGTGGTATGAGGAATCCTGGTGCCAGGAGCATTTCTCCCTCTAACATTTCCATACGGATGTATTCAACCAGGTAGGTCCTGCATAGTCTGCGATCCCAGTCATCAGTGATATGCCCCCCGTACATGATCTCACCAAAAAGATATCGCAAGTCATCCCAGGGAACCTAGGGAGAGACATTAACTCACCACCTTGGAATGACACTAGCAGGTGACTGAAATATTGAAAATGGATTGGCATCAATGCAGCCACTTTGGCTGAAAGTTAGATCCTGTGGAAACTGCATTACTTCTCCCATTCTGGCCTATGATGGCAGGGAAGACTTGAGATGTCAGGACAAAGGCTTGTGTGATCTTAGCATGCTATAAGAGGTTTGGAGTGGGTTAATAAAATGGTTTTCATTCTCTTTACATGGCACAAAAGTAGCCTGCACAAAACGACTGCAGCCCAGTGGTAGGGAAACTTCCCAAGTGCCCAAATGCAAGTTGTTCTGCTCTCCTGACACTGGAAGCCATTCTAAATTGAAGGATTTATTTTACTTTGTTCTGCCAGTACAGTCCTGAGAGCCCCAAGATGTTAATCTCCCTGAGCACAAGCTGCTCTTGTTAATGTTTCTCTGTCCCAAGTCTCTGCACTGATCGAAGATAATCTAGAATAATGGTTCTCCATTTCCTCAAAAGCCTTGGCTGACCAAACAGGCAGTTCATTGATCAGACCATCGAGGTTACTGGTTAACATTTGCTTTGCCATGCAAATAATTTAGTCAGTGCATCCTTACCCTCACATTGGCTTCCAGGTAATTATACAGTACATTCACAGAAATGGTGAGATCTCCATTGTTAAAGGGGTAAGACCTGTTCCATCCTTGAGCTCCAAATTTTCGCCGTTCTGCCACCACTGCATGAAAGTAGCAGAGGGCAAAGAGAATGCACTTGAATTCAATTTCTTTGGTGCACATTTCCAGCGTATCCTAAATGAGGATGCAAAAAGGAAATCTCTGTTTGATTAGTGCACTAGCTCCTAGGTACCCAAGATGCAGTAAGGCTGTACAGAAGAAACCAGGTAGTTGCAATTTGTCCTCTATTGCTTTCACCCACTTTGAGTGAAAATTGTCTGAAAGGATTAATGAAGTCAAATCAAGTCAAACTTCTTCTGGGGGGAAGAGGTTTGACTTGAGCCTGAAGCATGTAGCACATACATCTAGTGGAACATGCAGTTCTTCTTTTGAGCTGTGATTAGGAATGAAGAGCCTGCTTACCTGTGTAAAGAGATCCAGGGCTTTGTGTAAATTAGCATACATGCCTGTTGGAGGCTCATTGGTGATTTTAATGGCATTTTCCAGGAGTCCCTGAGGGATAATATGAGCCTCTGGGCTGGGAGCAGGCTCGGCGCTCATGAATACTCGGTAATCGCCGTGGCTGCCAGTGCTGTAGCGTTCAACTTTCTTATCCAGTGTGTTCAGCCACTTGGCTACCAGATGTATGTTCTGTAAAGGGTACGCAAGTCACATGTTGTTTGCTGCTAATGAAATTTAACTCCTTCAGAATCATGTTTACTTACAAGGTCTCATAATGTGACTGCAGAACTACTTTGCCTTTGCCTCCTGCCTTGAGTAGGAAATATGACCCAGTTTCAGACATTATCCATCACATTTCCTGCTATAATATGGCTGTGCATTTTGTGTTGTTGTTCCAGCTATTGGCTCAAACTTACCGAGATGTTGTGGGCCTTATTGATGCCAACATTTTTTCAGTAGTGTTCTGAAGGTAACATGTAGCAATAGTCTAAATAGGGGTAGGAGTGGACTGAGGGGCTTGGTGAGCTGGCTGATGAATCCTTTGTGCTTCAACCAAGTTCCAGCCCTCACTGCACTAAGCTTCTACTGCAGTCTGAGACAATGAAGCTATGGCTGTGCGCCAGGGCCTTCACACTATGAATACTACACTGGAGGTGTGGAGGATGGGGGAAGGGATCTGTTCATGGCCTTAATGTGTAAATGTCATGACACTGGATGCTTCTGTGTGAAGATTGCAGCAGTGTTCTTTGTCTCCAGACTCTGCCATATACCACTGGCATCATCATTGGCTTGTTCTGGGGGCTAGTCTTGTTTTACTTCTTGGAGGTCCCACATATACCAGGGAAATGGATCAGTTTACTGTGCAGATCATTTCTAGATCATGTTATAGTCTCAAGTAACTACTATGGGAAAAAATATTAGTTACTTAACAAATACTTTATTGAAATCATTAATGCAAGGGAAGCTTGGAGCCAGTGTAGTACACCAGACAAAAGCTATAAGGTGAAATCAAGGGGAAGCTAGTTGGCATTTAGATACCTGAAGAATGACCCAATGCCCTTCTACTGCAGCCACATCTAGAGCATTTTCTGCCACAACCTCTTGTCCTTGTCCTAGGGACACATTGTGGATTTTCCCGTTGTCTATGGTGAAGCCCAGCTTTTGACCTAGGAAAATTATTAGAATTAGAAAGCAGTGCTTTCATTTTCTGCCCTTATTGTTTAAAGCCCTTCTTATGTGTTGCTGGTCACATACTGAAGATGGGTTATTGGCTTACCTAGTGCTTCAACATCCTTTAGTGGATCGACTCCTGGAGAGAGGATAAAGAATATTGGTGTAGATTGACTGCTTTCGTCATAGGACTTGGAGAATTCAACACTTCGTCCTTCCACAAATTTACTCCCCATCTTCTCCTCCACAAAGTTCCTGAGAAAAGTATATAGGGACTGAAATGGTTTAGGTGATCATCATAGCTAGGGCAGCAACCTTGATTACTGATAATGGTATGGAAATTATTCTGTTAGTCAGATTTGCCCTTTTGTGGGTAAATAGTTTACAACTCAAAACACAGCTGAAGGAATGAGAGAGGAGGAGAATGAGCCAAAGGCAATGCCTTTTGAAATCTCCCTTCTCAGAATAGGAGCCTGAGTTTGTTTTGACTTGTTAATTGGATCGACTGTTCCTCCACTGGATAAAGAATTATCATAGAGTGAATAATTCATACTCTGTCAATAGGGCTCATTCGCTGGGAGGACTTCAAAAGCATGACAAGGAAGCAACAGCATGTCAGGATCCTGTGCCAAAATTCAGGCACATGAAAATGAGTGCTTGTATACTTCTCCCCACTTCTGAGGTTACTTTCCACATGGGAAACATCGTGTTTACATCAGGCCTTCTATTCTGATGGTAAACTGTTTTTTCAGGTTTAACTCAGGCTTTTAGGTAACCATGATCCTAACTTGGGTAGTCACCTACAAAACATTCAAGGCGGGATATAAATCGAAAGTCATAAAGAATAGAAGAAACATGGTCACTCTACAGAATTAAGATGAAAAAGATGCTGAATAAACTAGTGAAATAAACGGCTTCTAATACTTCAGAATGGTGGTGGAAAGTGCCATCAAGTCACAACTGACTTATGGCAATCCTGTAGGGTTTTCATTCAGAGGTAGTTTGCCATTGCCTGCCTCCATGTCATGACCCTGGTATTCCAGTCCAAATACTAGCCAGGACCAACCCTGCTAAGCTTCCGAGATCTGATGAGATCAAGCTAGCTTGAGCAATCCAGGTCCTGGCTAGTACTTTAGAACACTCATACTTAAAGGCCTGGGATCTTCAAGGTGCAGAAGAACATTAGATTTGTGCTGGATAATACGGGTCCATCTAGTCCAGCAACCTGGTTCACACAGCTTCCAACCAGCAGCCCTAAAGGGCCAATCAACAAGTTTGTTCATCTGCATTTTAAATTAGACTTGGGAATGTGCTGTCCATGTAGTAGTATGTTACTGAAGTATCTCAATACATTCCTATTTCCTGCTCTTCATTCCTGAGTGTGAGAATCCTAGCCTCTCCTTCTCTCCAAGTTCTTGAAAGAGCATGAAACATACTTGACTGCATAAGTCATGCGGTCTGGCCTCATGCACCGCATCATACACAGCTTCTGCAGGGCTGTCTTGTTCTTCCATTCCTTGGGGAATACTTCCTTCTCAGGAGTCTCAGACTCTACGAACTTTTTCCACCGCTTAGCAGAACCTTCAATATCACTGTCCAAGTTCTTGAATTCATCCATTTCAGAGAGGACCTGAGAGTAGAGGAACCGAGGTTTTAGTGTTGGTATTTCATACCCCAGTTACATCATTGTGTCTAACTAATGCTATCTTTTTCTAGTACACCTGACAGGAGATTCCTATACTAAGTTTTGTATGCCTTTTCATGGGAGGGGGGGTTTATCAACCATTTTACGGCTGTTTTATTGATGGTTTTTTATGATGTTATACTTTCGTTTGTTTTTTTTATGTTGTAAGCTGCTTTCAGCAGCCCTCTGGAGAGGCAGCCTGCTTAATACGTAAAAGTTCATTCGCTCTCTAGCTGCACATATTTTCCATCCATACAAGTGAGCCTGCTTCTCCAGTATTCTGCTAATATCTGCCTGAATTGCTAGGGGGGTGTCTTCTATCAGCTCAAGTGAATTAATAGGATCTATGGATGACAAGAGGAGGGTGCAGTGGAATTGTGAAGATGCAGTGCAGAAAGCACTTGAAAGACACGGAGTGCTCCCCATTGGTGAATGCTTCACATACTAATGTTATTATTTATTAAACTGGGTTTTAAACTAAGTGATTGAGGACATGGATCTTTGCCACCTTCCATGTCACCTACATCCCCTGCAAAACTGATGCCTGTGCCCAGGAACTCTCATAGATTTCTAAAAATGTATTCTAGAAGCAAGGGAATGGACCAAATGGCCTTTCTCTCCTTCTTCCCCAGCCTCTTGCTTCAGCAAAAATTTCCATTGGTGGAAAAGGGAGGTGGGGATAATTCACACTTTGTTCTCCCTGCAGCTCCCTATGTTATGTGGCTTTTTGTTCATGTGTCCTCTGACACCCGGCCAGCATGAGCGTTTTGGACATTGCTGGGGGAAGGGGAAGGAGTGAAATCTGCATTTTGTAAGCAAATGCTCACAGGACCCAAGCCTCTATTGTAGGAAACTTTCTTGCAACAATATTAAGGAAATGCTCTGTTAAATGAATGGTTTACACAAACCTGAGATAAAATGAGAACATACTTAGTGATTTTTCATTGAATGGACATGTAGTGTATGCACATTAAGAAGCTTACTGTACCTATTAATCACAGACTTATAGAAACAGAGCTAAGCCCATTCTTCCAGTTGGGTATTCTTTCATCAGTTTTGCATATTTACTGCAGCACAGAAGTTTCTTCCTGACCTGCCTAAATACATCCTATTACATACACCTCTGCCAATGTGGTGGTAGTTCCACAACTTTGATTTACTGACATAACTCTTCAACTGAAAAGTGTAAAAGAGTGTGAGTATAGTTAAATGTCCCTGATGAGGTTCCCATCAATTATGGACTGTGCTACTGGATCCTGCTGGGTTGTATTAAGTCTGAGTTGCAAAGATTAAAAACATAGGATAAAATGACTTCTCAAACAAACCTTAATTCCACCCCATCCTTGACTCAATAAGAAATCTACTGGAGAGGCTAATCCAGCTTTAAAAGGAAAGCGCAGGAGAAAGTCCAGTTCCACTGGATTAATTTCTTTCTTCACTAACAAGACCTGGAGTGAAATCAGAAAGTATAAAATTAGGGCTGTGTTTCCATACTTCCTTTGGAAACCATTGGTGGAATAGCAGCTGTGGCTCTTGTCCTGTGTTTGCTTATCCCAGTAAATTCTCTTCCTGGTTTACTGTTGACAGGAGAAAGAGAACCCAAAGGCTGGATCCCACCAGCAAGAAGTCTAGCTCTGGTGTCTTATGAGGCCAAATGTAGCATTCAGTGTAGTGGAACCCCAAAATACTGATGACTCTTGAGCACTAATGTGTCGACCTCCTATTTGGGAAGGACTGGTTTTCACTTTAAATTATACCTGGTGTTCACAAACAGGGTAGTTTCTGCTGCCACCAAGAATTTAAACAAATTCCAAATCTTCTCTCATTAGCTATTGTTGGTAATGTGACCTAGAGTCTGGGCTTTTCAGAGGTCTCTGTGGCCCTGAGGAAGGATTGAACTGAATTCTGGGTTAAACTTAAACAAAATAGGATTTATTGAAATAAGAACAAAATAAAATGCTGGTCAACTTTAACTGTTTTGGGGAAGAGAAACTGGTAAAATAAACTGGCAAGGTATCACACACAGTCTTTTGATCATAAGATCCCTCTCTGACAGGAATCACTCTTTCACTGGATAGCCACACTACACTGGCAAAGCTCTGTATTTTTTACTTTCTTTCAGATCTTTAGAGTTTCACTTTTGAAGACATATATACTGCAGTCTAAACTCTTTAATTTTCCACACAGACTCTGTCATCTCACTCTAGGGCTGCCAATTCCCCCCGGGGGGCGGATTTCCCCCTGCTTTGGAGGCCCGATTTCCGCCGCCGTGGAATCGGGCCCCGGGGGAAACCCCACCCCGGCGTGCACGTCAGCCGGAGGTGACGTGCTGACGCCGGGCACATTGGGGGCGGGGCCACAGCCATCTGAGGGGAGCCCCCCGCCGCAGAACAAAAGGTATTTGGCAACCCTATCTCACTCACTGACTCCAACTCAAAACTCCAACTGATTTCTCTGACTTTCATAACTGACTTCAAGACACACACAGAGATTCATTTCAAACAACTCCTCCCACTCTCAGTCATCCTCCAATCACACCACACTTGTCTCCCTCAATCACTCTACTCTGCTATCACTGCACTCCAACCAAACATTTAAAGAGACACACACACTCTTAAAACAAGGAATCATTACAACTAACCTCAGTAGCCAATGCACATCTAGTACAGAGAGCTTGGGCTTTTAGGATGCTAAATATCCCTATTTTGAACATACTTGATTGGATTGCACTGTCTAAGGTATTTTCTTGCCTACTGATTTTATTATAGGATGAACTCAGCCTTCTGCTTTGACCTATCTTGGTTGTATATTATCTTTCCTGTTGCATCTTCATTTACCAGGAGCTTTCTCCCACAAAACTTTCCCACAGTCTTGCATGTATTTTTCCTGGAAAGTTTCCTATACCTTGCCTTATAATACATTTCCTGCTTCTGCTCTAGTTGATGTAGTTAATCTCTCATTGACTGTTACCACCTTTTCCAAGGTAGTGAAAAAAGAATAAAGGACCAGCTATATCTAGGTATAATAAAGCGTTGTCCCCACAGTACTTATTACTGTGCATCAGAGGAGATGCTGACTAATGCCAAGGCATGAAGACAGAAATTTCCACTATTTTCTTTAAGTCACTACCAGCAAGAAATCTCCTTACCTGAAAAGCAACCTGGGCTAAAAATATGAGTTTGTCTCTCTCAAACAGTCCCCGAGCTGTATACATAAAGACAGAATATGTGATCTCGTCTGTCAGGTTGATCACCCGTTGTTTTACATCATCTGCCGGAAGAGTACGTTGGATGGCTTTCTCAAAAACCACATTGAATGCCTGGCAAAAAAAAGCAGCTCAGACTTCGACCTAATGTGACTGTAGCATTTTATTAAAAGCCACACAGACAGGTCAGTTTTCTTTATCTACAACATGAGATAAGTGTTGATGTTAACACCAGGCTTTTGAACTGTTCATTCTTCAATATAGCAGTCACCCAGTAGTCCCTGCCGTACAGGTATCAATACAGAGGTGGTCTGAGTGACTCAGTTTATATGCTAACAGAGGCAGAGATGACTATCTTACACAGATGTAGTAAATGATCCAGTAAATTGGCCTGTTCCATTACCTTTAGAGAGAACTGATAGATGGGGTTGATTTTGTTGAGGTCATTCAGTATGAAATATAACAAGGATGCCCTTTCTGCAGCTGGCCTGTAGTTCTCTCTAGCTTCATTAATTTGCACTTCAGTAATCTTAGATTCTTTCACCTTAAAAAAAAACAATCTTCAGCACTTCATATGTCAGTATCCTGGAAAGCTCTCAGATTTACAGCTGTGGCCACAGTAGCACAGTGAGAGTGTATGGGGCACCTCACTTACCTTTTCCTCTATCTCCATAGCTGTGCGCTTGGTTGTCTCGAGATTCTCTACCAAGGCTGTGTCCCCCAGAAAGTTCCCTGATGCAGCAGAGAGTCTGGCCAGTAAGGAATCCTCAAGCTCCTTCAGGATGATCTTAAATTCATTTTGTTGTTTTGTAAGAGTGGCCTAATCCAGCAACAAGAGGAAGGGTTAGATGGGACTTTTCCTAGAAGAGCTACAAGTCCCCACCCTCAAAGTAAGGCAGGCAAATAAAATCCATTTCTACAGTATGAAACATAATCCTTAAATGATTTATGCAGATCAAACAGGTGATACTCTCAGCACAAAAATAATTAAAGCCAGTAATTTCGATGAAGAAAGCGGGTTGCACTTACCTGTAACCTTTGTTCATCAAGCGGTCTTCTGTGCAGGCACACATGGGACTGCGATGTAGCAGGCCAACCACTAGGAGGAGCTAGCAAGCTCAAAAGAAATTTCTAGTATCCCAAGAGTGCTAGGCCTCCCATAGCACAGTGATCTTCCCGCCCAAAAGTCATGTGATATGGGAGGAACCAGCACTCTCCCCTCAGTTCTCCCTATGCCACCACATGGGAGTTCGAGGCTCCCCCAGTCTATCCCAGTATTGACTACAGGTCTTGAACAGCTAGATTTGCCTGATCTCAGATTTGCCCATTCCACCCTTTAATTACTCAGTGGTATGCTATTGGATCATGTTTTGATATGGAATTAGTTGTCTTTGTCCGTCAACATCTCACATGTTTTAAAGCAGTGTCAGTTTTGCATCTGACTGTGTTAGATATGAGAGCTATATGATGAAGAAATTGCTGTGTTTTCCCAGTTTGTACCCTGTTTGTATGTAGTAGGTGCTTTGGGGCAGTAGATCTAAAGCTTCACCTTAAACCATCTGGTTTCATTTGTAGTTAGTGAAAGTATGGCCACCCCCCAAATTCTTGTCACACTTGTCATCTTTCTGATAACAATACCTTCAGTTCCTCTAAGTCAGGTCTTTCCTTTGCCACAACAGCAGCCAAAAGCTGGTCTTCCAGTCCATCCCTGGTGACTAGGAAGTTGATCAATGTGCATTGAGCCTGCATCTCTGGTTTGTAGTGGGGGTTGAAGTACTTGGTGTGCAGAATGAGGCGGAATTTGGGATGGTATTCTACTTCTTTGTCTCCCATCTTAATGTACCTGGAGATTAGAGCATGAAGAAGACTAAAAATGCACCTCTCCAGCTCATAGGTCATGCCTATTAGTAGCTAAGTGGGTTTCCACCATATTTTATTTTAGCATGGATTCTGGAAACCCTGATATTTTCCTCTAGAAGAGATGACCCAGCAAACATTACAGGTAAGCTAAGTTCTACAATACTATCCTCTTTTTAAAATAATGGTATATGAGGCCTGCTTAGAAAAGTCAAATACAAATGATAGATGCTCAATAGTAGAACAAAGACTAAACAGGCCTGGACATCATCTTCAAAGGCACACAGGGAGAAGAGGCTTCTCTTAGAATTATGTGGGGGAAGTATGTGCACAAAAAGCCATTCTGGTCATCCTTGAGAAAGAAGTTTGCTTTGCTGACCTGTAGCTAGCATAAGCATGCTCACCTTCCACACCACTGGCAAGTCTTTGCCTCTTGAGCCAGTTTGGTGTAATGGTTAAGTGTGTGGACTCTAATCTGGGAGAACCGGGTTTTGATTCCCGACTCCTCCACTTGCAGCTGCTGCATCCAGCAGCTGCAAGTGGAAGAGTGGGGAATCAAAACCCGGTTCTCCCAGATTAGGCAAACCTTGGGCAAGCCATAGTTCTACCAGAGCTGTCCTTGAAAGGGCAGTTCTGGAAAGAGCTCTCTCAGCCCCACCTACCTCACAGGGTATCTGTTGTGGGGAGGGGACGGGAAAGGAGTTTGTAAGCTGCTCTGAGACACTGAGTGAAGGGTTGGGTCTAAATCCAATCTCCTCCTCCTCCTCCTCCTCCTCCTCCTCCTCCTCTTCTCCTCTTAATGGCAAAACAAAGTTTTGTAGCAGAAGCAGCATTTGTGGGAACACAGGTACAAATGCCCAAAAGGAAAGTGGAGGCATCAGTAGGTAATTTTGGGACCAATTTAAAAATAAGTGGTATGAAGGGCAGCCCTCAGTTTTTTTTAAAGTAACACTGCAGTAATAAAAAATTGTTTCTTGAAAGTCCCATTGACATCAATATGGCTTACTTCCAAGTAGATGTACATAGGATGGTGTTACTCTGGGAACTCTTAACCAATAGGTTATGTTAAAGTCAGCAATGGCCATAGGAATGAAAATGATGTAATTCTACATTCCCCTCTTTGCAAAACTAAATAGGCAGTGGGGAGGCAAAATATGAAGATGGTGTTATGCCATAGCACAAACCTAGTGTAAAACTCACCAGGTAGCTGCAACTATTTCCTTTTAGCAAAGAGACAGTGGTTAGCAATTTAAAACAAATGATTAGCTTGCTTATCTTAAACAGAAAAGCAATTGGGATACCGAGGTACATTGAACGGGTTCTGGACAGAGAAGAAAGCATGCCACTGCAGAGAAAGGAAGGTGTAATCTGATGCCTAGCCACCCACTGATTGTACAGAAAACTATGTGCCAGGCTGTTTTGGATTTAAATTTAATCTCAAGAATGTATCTTGCACCACATGACACCCCAGGAATCCACTGGAGAGTCTTTACCCCTCTCTGTACCCTGATACCCCAGAGATGACCAGACCAAGTATATTAGATGGGAATCCAGTTGCTTCAGCTCAGCTACTGGGCCTAAATCTATATACTAATAGTGACATGTAGCTTCCATCTGTGGATACCTAAAACCATGGATTGGGGACACACAGACGCTTAACAGATTTTTATGCAAACTCGGGGGACTCCCCAAATTTGCAGAGAAATAAAAAATAAAATATATGGGGGAGGGGTTAAAGTCCCCCAAATACAATCGTGTTCTCTGTGCAGAGAGTGCATTTAGGGAGCCACTTCATCTTGCCAGTGGCAGACACAGGCAGCCCCTTTGTGCCAGCAGCAGACACTGGCAGCAGTAAAAGCCAGCAGCCACTGCGGGCCTGGGTGTGGCAGAGGAGGATGTTCTGCGGTACGTGCTGGGTTCTGGAGCCTCACCAGACTCAGCGATGGGGGAGATATGGGGTCCCCTCCCATGAGAGTCTTGCAGACCCTCCACTTGTCTCCCCTAAAACACACTATAAATTGGAAGCCTGCGACTGTGTTCTGTATAACAGAGCAGTAGAGAAACTCATATATCCAGGAAAGTAGAACAATGGTCTTGGTTAAACTCAGTTTCATTATAGCAGGACAAGACACATCTGGGGCTATTTGCTACTGTCTGGGAATGTCACCAAACAGCAGCTATATGACTCCTGTCCACTTAGTAATAGAGGCACTCTTGCCAGTATAGGTAGAGGCTTACAGACAACTTAGTACAATGTACCCTTCTCTCTTTGTGCCAGTAAAACCATATATTAATGGCAAAGTCTACACTCACCAATGGATGTTTTTAATAACAGGAAGAAAAAAACCAACAAGGGACTGTCTCCTGATTGGACCAAAAGTCTAAAAGCTCTCCAGCACTTTCCATTTTAAAAAGCAGAGACTATGTGACTTCAATGCCTGTGCAACAGCAACAGCACACTTACTTTCCCTTCTTGATGGTGTTTCGACCTAACAAAGGATCCAGCACAGGCTCCACAGTCTCCCCAATGTTCTCAATGAGCAGAGTGTCTCCATCAGAAATGGCTTGTTCAATAATGTCTAGATAACTGTAGCACCAGAAAGAGACCCTTAAGAATGTCACAGTGATTTAGAACACAAAATATTTACTGCAATATAAGGTACTCTGACTACATCATGCACAATCAGAATGCTGATATTCAGAGAGAGGGGCCCCACAGTTCAGGGCTGAATTTCTCGGTGTTCATTAATGCAGGACAGATCTGGAGTGGAGCCTGTGGCAGAGGAGGCATATTCTGCTGCTCCCAATATATAAAGAACGGACCTGAGAGAGCCCCTTTATGGGACTGGAGAAAGAGTAGCACCTTGGGCACATTATGACACTTGTTCTTGGGCCTGTAGTCAGCTCCTTGCTTAGAATAATTAGAAAACACTAAGAACAAGCGTAGAATAGCAATCACTCAACTTTTTCTGCCCTAGCCGGATGGCTTTCAGTTCTGCTCCATGTTTGTTCTTAATCCATTTGATCCCTTGGAGCTGGGCATCCACAATGAGCGGCCAGCGTTCAGTGTTACACAGTATAGTAGCATTTTCTGTTGACATGCGGTCACTGGGGAGTCCTTGGTTGTTCCATGTTGCTATATCTGCATCATCTGTCAGAAGACTCAAAGGATCCAGCCCAGGAGTGATTGGAATTGGTACCTGTGACAAAAACGGGTCTCTCAGGACAGTAAAATGTATAGCTGCCTTCTCTCCCCTACAGAATCTTACTATTGGATAAAAGGGTTGAGGGGATATGTTGCAGGCAAATAATGGAAACATATTCTTTATTGGTGGTTTTAAAAATACCAGGTACAATTAGCTGGAAAGGTGAGAGGGGATGACTGCTTGTCCTGAATATCCTTAATCTCATGAGCTGCTGGATGGAAGGAGTTATTGAAAATACACTACTGATTACAGTTGTTTTGATCAGCTTAGGCAGTATGTGTTGTGAAAGGGTGCTTAATATTTTCTCAGCAGCAAGGCACAAATATATTGGGGGTAGGCTTCTTCTGTCAAGCTAAGTGTTTAGGATTTAGGGTAGAGGAAAACACATCTGTTTAGTATAGATGAAAATACATCTGAGCTTTGGAGTAATCTCTTTGTGGGTTGATTACAACTGTGTTGCTTCTGATACAGCTCAGTTTTAATATCCCAGAGAGAGACAGAAAAAGAGATTACTCCAAAGATTTTCTTCTAGGCATTGGCTCTCACCTTTCTAACTAAATGTTTCAAAATGAGAGTGGGATGGAGGGGAAGGGGAAGAACTGGGATTGGAATGTTAATAAATAGATTAATCAAAGTGGGAGTGAGGAGAATGAGCAACAGGTTGCTACATGAAGGTATAGTTATGGTAAGGGCTCAAGGCCTCTTACATGGGAGAAGAGATGGCGAATGGTGACTGCAATCTATGACTTTGCTAGATCCCAAGAGAGGCTAAAATGTAGGCACTACACTTGTAAGGCTGAGCAAAGCCTGTTCCATCAGGACCTCCACTGTGCTGGATGATTTAAGGGATTTGAGCTGGGATGAGCCAGCTCTTTGCCTTGAATGAATGAGTCATAAATGGATCTGGATACTCCCCAAAAGGAATGTTTGATGCACAGCTGGTGATAGGCCAGTTTAGTCTGGGGTCTCTGGGATCAGAATCTTAAGCCCTAGTAAGTGCACATAGAGCCCTGACATAATACAGCCTGCACGTCCAAATATCTGCCTCTGCATTTCTGCCACAGAGCTTCACCTAGCTGTGTATGAGTGGATGTTGCTACTGAATTAAATTTACCTTTAGCTCACGTAAGTAAGGAGCCCAGAACTTGTCAAGTAGCTCTGTCCTGTATTTCTTGGTAAAGTAGCCAACATAGGAAACAAATGCAGTAATCAGCAGCACATCCCCACACAGAGTCTTTTCTTGTTCGCGGAAATTTTCCACAGACTCAGCCCAGCGCACGTTTTCGGATGCTAATCCACCAACCAGCCTTAGGAAACATTGCACAAGGAAAGAAGTCTTTGATTAGCACAGCCTGGGATTCTGGCCAGCTCTATCGTGCTGCTAGTCCTTTCCTTTCCCAGAACCAGATGAACTCTTTGTCCTGGAATGCTGATGTGGTTTAAGATAAGAGGGACAGTTTCTGCATGCAGAGGACCAGTTTTAAAATGTGCGGATGGGCAAGAGGAAAACCTCTACCTAAACATGCTTCGCATTCTTGGCATACCTTTTGCACAGATACTTGACCACTGCTGACAGGTTGTGGCACTTACAATTATTATTACAGTAAAATTACAATCAAAGTAATGTACTAGCAAAGCTTATAGCAAGAAAGAATTCATTTCAACCATGATAAGATCTGGGTGCCTATTCCAATAATCAATAAATGAGGTTAATTTCTGTCCAAACATTATTGAAGAATGACAACTATTTTTACCATTACCAATTTCTGCGGGATCTGAATTTTTAAGCAGCAATTCTTCAGTTGTAAGGAGACCTTCATGGATCCAGGGCTAATAACAGCACTAGGTGGGAGGGGGAGGGCTATTGATTTTGATCAGCAAACAGTATACTGTGAGGAAAGTTAATCCCTTCTCTCCCAGTACAGTGGCCTCAGTCTAAATAACGGTCCTACTTAGTTGCTATTTCCTTTTTAAAATGCTGGGAAGAGTCCTTCATAGACCTCTGAGTATCACATCTATAAAGTGGCAATGCTTTAGATGGTTTGAAGATGATTTATTGATTGATTGATTAGATTTCGACCCCGCCCTTCCTGCCATAGCAAGCTTAGGGCAGCTTACACAAACACTAGACAGCTAAAACAGAACTAAGTAAAATCATGACAATATAAATATAAAACATTACAAAGTGCTAGTGCTAAAAACAGTTCATATACAGTGGCAGGCATATACAGCATCCAGCAAGCAGGCAGTCAGTTCTCATTGTGGTCTGGGTCATATTGACTGGTGATATTGATATAGATGTATTGGGGTCAGGGCCTTGGTTGTGTGATGTGGCTCTCTAGTCGAAGGCCTGGTGGAAGAGCTCCATCTTGCAGGCCCTGTGGAACTGTAAAAGGTCCTGCAGGGCCCTGATGTCTTCTGGGAGCTCATTCCACTAGCATGGAGCCGCCACTGAAAAGGCCCTGGCCCTCGTCACGGCCAGCCTGGCTTCTCTAGGGCCTGGCAGAGCCAGACAATTTTGGGACCCTGATTGTAAAGCTCTCTGGGGAACATGTGGGGAAAGGTATGCAGGTCCCTAACCATATAGGGCTTTAAAGGTAAGAACCAGCACCTTGAACCAGATTCGGTATGCTATAGGCAGCCAGTGCAATGCTTTTAGAGCATAGGGAAGCCCAGCAACAAGTTGGCTGCTGCATTCTGCACCAGCTGCAGTTTCCGGATCTGGGACAAGGGCAACCCCATGTAGAGAGCATTACAGTAATCTAGTCTCGAGTACATGGATCACTGTTGCCAGGTCATTATGTTCGACGAAGGGAACCAACTGCCTAATCAGATGAAGATGATAAAAGGCTGACTTCACAGTGGCTGCATCATTAAGGAGGCATCTAGGATAATCCACTGAAATCTCATTCTTCAGAAGATCCATAAAACAGATAACACGGCTTCCTTTTGAGCGAACAGGCTTCCTTTAAAATCTACTTGCAGTTTATCTGTATGAACTGTGCATTTTTTACTCACTCTCTCTTGAGTAGCATTTCATTTTCAAGAAATGGCTCATAGCATGCTTAGAAGCATAACAAGTTTCCTTTTACTACTGTAGTTGGATCTTTCAACTAGCTGGGAGCACCAAAAGCTCCAGCACTGCAGACTCCAGATACTTAAACTTCCCAGTGATCCCCAATCACAAGAGTTAAAAAAACCTGAAACACAATATGCTTGAAGTTCTTTTGATTGCATTTTGCTTAATATAATTTTAAGATCTATTACCATCAGATTCTCTCTGATACCATTTCTAAAAATACAGTTTCATCTTTTAAAATGCTTAGATTCTTAGGATTCATATTCTTCACCCTTGGCTTATGTTCAGAAAATGTCAGAGTTTGATTTCAAGAGTAGTTAGTGGATCAATTAGCCAATACCAATAGCCTAGTTGGTGCCATCTTCTTAACTGAAAAATATATTTGGAAATAGTGACCAAGGCATTTTGTTTTCCTTTGCTTTGGGTCCAAATTTGGCCAGTGTAGTAGCTAGGCAGTATCCCACTCTGTCTCTTACAAAAACAAGGGCAACTTGTTTCTTGGTGGCAAGCAGGAAATCCAAGGAAAGGAAATTCTGTAGTATATAGTGCCACAATACCTGTTAGCCAATGAAATGACTCTATTAGTTGCATCAGCCTCTTGCTGACACTTGATTTTCTCTGCTGTGGCCTTTTCAAATTCAGCTGTCAGATTGGCCAAGTTGGCATTTAGATCCTTCAAGACAAAACATTGGCAATTACTTTTCTGAGAAATTTGATTATAGGCTCACTACAGATAGTCAAATGATGTACCTCCCCATTTATTTCAGGATGTGAGAGTCTTTAACAAGTTGTGCCCTAAAATTGTGCAAATGCTGATGCAAGAATCTGTGATTCCCTGCACTCCCCCTTGTGGGAACCACTTTTCTATGATATGCTAATGACACAACCATGTGTGCTGGGCTACCTGCATGGGCCTTTCCCATGGTACAGGTGGCAATATCATTTAGAAGATGCCTCCCAGCCATGTGGGAGTTTATGAACATGAGGGTCCGCCAAATACCTGCAGGTACATATAAAAGTTACCTTCATTTGAGTCTGTTGTTGCTAGACTTAATAAAATTTGCTTTACATCTTTCTAGGTAATTCATACACATTGTCTCATTAATTCTTACATCAGTTATTTATTTAGCACATTTTTAATCTTCTTCCTTCAAAGAACACAGGTGGCATACATGATTCTCTTCCTTCTTCTATTTTACCCTTACAATAACCTCATGAAATAAATAGGGCTAGAGACAATGATGGGCCCAGTATGACCCAGTGAATTTCATGATGTGCGGGAATTTGAACTTGTCCCCTCCCAGTCTTAGGCCAGCTTCCCATTCAGTACAACACACTGGCTCTAAGTAGGCCAGGAAGAGAATATTGTCATTACAGATTGGTTCAGGGGCTGAGCTTATATAGGCTTTCCTAAGGCCACCTAGTGAATACATGGCAAAGATGGGATTTGAACTGGCTTCACAGCTCAGACACTGAGCTGCTACACTAATTTGCACAGAGAACAAAGGAATATTGGTTGCTCACCCTTTAACTCAGTAACTAATATCTAAGTAATAATTTTCTCACTCAGTGGCAGTGGTGAATGTCAGTTAACTGGAATGGTGATGTTTACTTGGACAGGATATCTGAGGCTCTGGCATTTGACTCCAGTGTGGTTGTGAGTGTACTTACTGCAATCTTGTTCTTAATCATTGTGAGTTTTGCTTGGGCCTCAGCCAATTCATTATTAGCCTCTTCCAAGGCTTGCCGCTTGGGTGCCACATCACAGTACACTTCATAGAAACGAACTATGTTTAGGCACCAAGAACACAGACCGGCTGCTGCTGTAGATTTAGAAAGTATAAACTCTGGATCAAATGTGGGATCATGTTGAAATGGTCTGCAGAAGGAAGGTATAAAATCCCTTCAGACTGAGTGAATCAACAGACACTGTACAACCTACCATCTTCAGGTAATACTGTATGGATACCAAGGAATGAGTGGATTCTGAATGAAACAATGCTTTAGTGCTTTTTGAGGCTGTAGGCATCTTTGAAATTTTCCCACAACATGGTGGGTACAGCCACAGAATGACTGCCACAAAATGGTTGCTGCAGCTTACCTGCAGTCACACAGTGAATATCCTCGTGCTGTGGTGGCAGCTACTGCCAAAGCAAAGTTTTTTAAAATCCACACAGCTAATCAAGTCTCCAATGGCCAATCTGCAGCCTTGCTGGGCAGAAGCTCCACCTGGCCCCACCCACTTTCTAAAAACACTTGGTGGGCACCAGGAAAGATGTCAGCGGGTACCACATTGGAGACTCCTGCTTTAGTGCTTGCATTGACTAGAAAGAGAGGCTGTCTAGGGGAAGGGGGAGACGGACTCTCCTGAACTCTACTTGCCCTGACCTTCTTTTGAAGTCATCAGCTTGAATTCACAGGGTGAAAGGCATTTTGTAGGCCCATGGCATGAGGAGAGAGACACTGCGGAGGTATATTGTCTCACTCACTGAGCCAAGACAACCTAGTGAGGAACACAATTGTATACTCTGTCTCCTGATCTTAGAGGGCTGTTTCCTTTCAACATGCTGACAGAGGGAGAAGAAACACTGCTGTGGAGGTAAGATAAAGGGTTGAGGGCAGAGGGGGACTAGAAGAAGCTGGTGGGTATGGACCAGGGGTCTCAAATCCTGTAGAAATTGTGGGCATTTTTGGAATTTTGAAAGAGGGCAGTAAGTACCACCACAAAATAGCTGCCATGCGGCGGGGGGGGGGGGGGGGGGGAGGAAATATTTGAGGGTTCTAATCCAAATATTGGAGCTGCGGTGGCTCAAGTGGTTAAGATGCTGAACTGCAGGCTGTGGAAGGTCAGTAGTTCAGCATTTCGAGCCCCGAGTGCCGCATGACGGAGTGAGCTCCCGTCTCTAGTTCCAGCTCCTGCTAACCTAGCAGTTTGAAAGCAAGAAATTGCAAGTAGATAAATAGGTACCACTTCGGTGGGAAGGTAACAGCATTCCGTGCGCCTTGGTGTTTAGTCATGCCGGCCACATGACCACGGAAACGTTTTCGGACAGCGCTGGCTCTTTGGCTTTGAAATGAAGATGAGCACTGCAACCCTAGAGTCGGATTCGACTGGCTTTCAAGCAAGGGAACCTTTACCTTTACCTAATCTAAATATTACCCTATGATGGGGGAAGCTTTTTCCAAATGGGTGCCCCTGCATACTGAAATGTGACGTCTCCAGAGATCTTTTGAAGCACTTCATGCTCTAATGAGCTGGAGGAAAGCCAGGACTGGCTCTTTGCTTGAGAAATAGATGCTTTGGGAAAGAAGCAAGTGGGCATCAGAAAATACATCACTGGTCCCACGTTGGGGATCACTGGTGCAGACCCTAAAAGAGAATAGACTGTAGGTAAAAGACCCTGCTTCTCCTAGCCTCTAGTCCAGTCAGCAAGCTACAGCCATCTCTTTTTGTGCCAAGAGTATACATTTAATTGTTCATACTTAAAAGCTTTCAAGCAGGTCTCTGGAATGTGTTCCTTGTCATATTTTTTCAGAGAATCCAGGAAAGTGTCCACCTTGCCCATCATGCCTTTGGCTGCTTTCCAGCTTCTGTCCTTTGGTATCTTGCCACCTGGAGCTGTAAGGATCATTACAGCTGCTGTCACATTAACAACAGCTTCTGGGGGAGATCCAAAAGACTTCAGTTCGGTCAGGTTGTTCTGGAAAAGGAGAGAAAAGGAGACAGCTATTGTGACAGTGTTGTTCAGGGTACCTAGAACTCTGGACTACAACACTGGAAGGTAAGTTAGAGCAAAAAACCTAAAACCAAACATAATATGCAAAGGTACTTAATTCTGGCTTTTGATCTTTCTCCAGGATACTGAATCTTTGCAGACTGGGCAACTATCAGGGGGCAGCAGAAATACCAACCTATGAGAGGTTCTGTGGCAGGAGTGCTATGGGAAGCACAAAGCTTCAAAGGATCCTACTTACATCTTCACCGTGGACAATGTCTTGAGCTCCAGAAATTTAGACTAGAAGTGGTCTGGGGTTTCTGGTACAGCAGAGTCAGGCACTTAGGCATTAGCACTTAGTATTTTGGACTCTGGTCACTTGCTGCGACAATTCGTTAACAATTACAACATGTGAACATTTTGGTAATGAGAGAGAGAGATGCTGAAAGGGACATCAGGCATTTACCTATATTATCCCACTTAGAAAAACAAAACATATGATATTCCTATTGGGAAGGTCCAAACATTTTACCTTATTGAGAGTGTCCAATGCTTCCTGAGCAGCAATCAGAGCTGGCTCAGCTTTGGCCAGGTCAGTTTCACAAGCCCTTTGCTTTTCTGCTACATTCTGCAAGCAAGAAAAGACAAGCATTAACAAAGTGGTTTGGGTGAACACAACAGTTTTATGGCTTTATGGCTTTATAGAACCCTACCCTTTAGTGCAATCAGGGCCAAATGGTAGATAGCAATATTTTGTTGTGTGATGGGATGAAAAATGAAGATTTTGTCAATGGCACCATCCTTCTGTGTTTGTTCCAGAGCACCTCTGCTCTGTGACTCATTCCTTGCTCTACCTTATAAAAAGGGGTATCCCCTTCTTGCAGTGCAGTGGCTCACCATAAGCAGTGCTGGCAAGAGGAAAGGGAGCCTTTCAGTAACTGACTAAGAATCTGTGTTGTGCAGCTTATTTCTGGGAAACAGCCCAACTGGCCTTGTTTCCTTACCCAGGTTCCTTACTTCTGCCTCCCCCAGAGGAATGAATAACAGGATGTTTGTTATATTTGCTAATTTGGCTAAAGTTCACCAAAACTACGGCATGACACGTTTTCTAATAAATAATTGGGAAATAAAACCTCTTTCTGGTTGTTAAGGAAAAGCTTCCAGGAATTAGAATATGCCACAGTGTGCTACAGGGATCCCTGCTCTTTGACCACCTCCTGCCTCCTGCCCTTTTGCTCACCTCCAGCCTTCTGGCCATCTTCCAAAAAAGAGAGAGAGAGAGAGAATGAACATTACTTACTATATTAATGACTTGCACTTTCAGCTCCTCTTCATCAGCAATTGCTTTCTCCCGGCTCACTTTTTCTGTTTCAACCCCCACCACCTGGATCAGTTTGTCAGCATCTTCATTCTTATGCTTGAGCTCCAGCTCTTGAACAGCAAGTTTGGCCTTCAGGTCATCAACCTACAAAATCCATCAGGAAGAATGAGCAAAACTGGTGTGTGGGGGGGGAGGAGACAATTTTCTTGAATAACCATGTCTACCTTCCCTTTGGGTGATTTTTTTTCAGAGGATGTATGAAATGGTGGAAGGGAAATGGCCACTCATTCAGAGTGAGGGCAGGAAAAACAGGTTGCTTACCTGTAACTGATGATCTTCGAGTGGTCATCTGTGCAGTCACACACCATGGGTTTCACGCTTGTGTTAAACCTCCGTCGGGAAGCCTAATAAGCTTTAGCGACAGCTTTCCAAGTGCGGAGTCCTCCCCAGTCTCGTGCAGCACGCACCATCTGAGCATGCTCAACAGCTATGGCGGACTCCGCCCCCACTCAGTTCCTTCCCACACCGCCGACCACTCCGAGGCCGTCTGTCCAACCAGGGATGATGTCAGCAGTGGGGATGGCTGGGTGGGCGTGTGTGACTGCACAGATGACCACTCGAAGATCATCAGTTACAGGTAAGCAACCTGTTTATCTTCTTCGTGGTCTCTGTGCAGGTCACACACCATGGGTGACTAACACCGCCGACCACTCCGAGGCCGTCTGTCCAACCAGGGATGATGTCAGCAGTGGGGATGGCTGGGTGGGCGTGTGTGACTGCACAGATGACCACTCGAAGATCATCAGTTACAGGTAAGCAACCTGTTTATCTTCTTCGTGGTCTCTGTGCAGGTCACACACCATGGGTGACT